TTTTGTATTTCACAATCAACATAGGAGAGGCCGGGGACCTCACAATTCAACCCGGGTCTGAACTGGGGCCCTTACCCAGATAGGCTGAGTTGAAAACCGGGTTCAGCGTCTCAGGAAGAACACCCTACTCCTAGTATGTAAAGATTATGCATCCATCGCTGGAAACCGGGTCCAGTGTCCCATTCCTATATTTTATCCAGACTTTCCAAAAATAGTGGAAGATAATATCCCTGAAGCACCACTAAAAGAAAATTTTTTAATGAATAACAATTCTTCGTCTATCCCCCATCCTAAGCTCACTGGTCTTCTCACTTATCTACTGTGAAAAATCCTAACACAGCAGAGCAACTTTTAGCCTAATCACGGAGGTTTTAGCCAGTGAGTTACCACCACTCTTCCCTCCCCCGAAAGCTTTGTTAACTTATTGTCTCTCGCCCAGGATCTGGAAAACCAAAGTCGGCCTTTGCCTTGGCGACCCGAGCATCTTTTCCAATCCGTTTTCATTTGGAGTCTCAGGTTTGCTTTTACCCTTTGTATTTGCTGATGCATGTTTGTTGTTCCCCTGTTGAAGGCAGCAACATTTCTGGCCCACCAAATCACCTGCATTATTACCCCTCTGCAGACCAACGCTACGTAACCCCAGCCCTCCGTATAATTAAAGCTATGGTCTGGCAACCTACCATATAGAATCCAATCGTCTGACCAGAGAAAAGTTTCACCAGTGCTGTCTTTCCAAAGCTCTATCCACCATTGCCACAAGGTATCTGACAGCGGGCAGTGAACCCATAGATGAATGTTGGATTCCCACCCCCAACTACACCGACTGCAGGTCTGGGGCAGGTCCATCCCTCTTGCTGCCAGCCAGAGAGCGGTTGGAATTATCTGTATACTTTGAGCCCATAACAAGCTAGAGTCTCGTTGCGAAGGTAACTTCTTCAAGGCCTTCCACAGGGTCTGCCAATTAGGAGTTTCTGCCAGTGAACCTTTTATCTTCATATATCTCTTGTTTGCCAGAGCGACAGGGGAGTGTTCTTGTTTCGATCTCAGACTCAACGATCTCACACCTGCCCTCGGGGTGTATTGACACAATGGGATAGGATTATCAACTTCTCTGTCCCCTTGACACCAGCCTAACAGGAGAGGCTCCACCCGAAATGAGTCTGCTTCTCCCAATAGCAAGGTATGCTTCTGAACCTGCCAAACACGGAGTTCAAGGAGACCTGTTGTAGTCTGCAGAGTTGTGTCTTGAAGTTTTATTAATTGCACCCCTCTTTTAACTGCGGTCCTTTCCCTCCATTCCTCCACCCTCCACCCCCCTTCCAAATCAGGGCCAATCAGTCTCCACACCAGAGATTCCTCCTCCTCCGAGTGCAGCCAAGAGCCTGCTGCATGTTCGGCTGAACTATTCAGAGTTAAAGCCCACTGGCGAGGAATGGCTTCGATGATCTTACTTCTGTTTTCGAATACAGAACGGAGACGTGAAAGTTTTTGTCTCAACCGCTCTTCCGATAACCAATCATTTGTTTCTTCATCCCACAAATGTCTGATGAGGATGACCCCTTTTTCCACCCATGCCTTTCCGAAGTTACCTGCTCCATCCATGGCCATAAAGGTACCTCCATCTGGTGCCAGGATCAACGGGTTCTCGAAAAGGCACTGCGTAGAAATCTCCTTTTTTGTACTTGGTGGTTGGAGGGCTTTTGGCAATAACTTTTTCCAGGCTCGAAGGATACCTCTCCATTGTCTGGACTTGGTTCTTCTGTTCTGGTATGACGGAATCAGGATACATTGCCATACGTTTCCCGAGTTTGACAACGCCCACTCCTTCTTTAAAATATATTATGCGAGACGGACCCACAGCTTGGTAGGGTATTCGAAGAGTGCCTTGATCACCCATTTTGCTAGCAATGCTAAGTTTTGCAAATGGGGGTCCTGAAGTCCCATACCACCTTCTTCACGGGGAAAGCGTACTGTGTCCCAAGCGGCTTTAGCAATGTATCCCTCGCCCTCCTCCGCCCCTGGTTTCCAAAGGTACCTCGCCGCGGTTGTTCTGATGGTCGTGTAAGCCTCTTGCCCCAGAAGACAAATGGAAAGGGGGAACCAGAGGATCGAGAATGCAGCCACCGACAACACCAGAGCTCTGCCGAAGGTAGATAACTTGTAGTGCTTGACCCAACCCTGAATCCTTGCTGTGACCCTGTCTGCCAGAATTTGGTCTTGGGTCCTTGAGCAGTCCGTGAGTGAGACCTGAAGTTCCAGAAATCTCTCTGAGTTTTCTGTGGGAACCTCCCTGAACCCCCAATCAACCCTGAGTACAAACTGTGATGGAAGGAAATATGCCGATTTAGACCAATTGATGGAAGCCTCCGATAACAGGCAGTATTCATCTAATACCGATTTTAGTTCCTCCAAGGAAGAGGTGGAGTTTTCACAGACGACAGTTAAGTTGTCAACGAGTGCCCCCCCTTTCCACTCGACGGTCGGATTTAATCTAAGACCAACAATTTCGGTATTATGCCTAATATTATCTAAAAGGAAAGTGGCGCTAACGGGCAGCCTTGCCGCAAGGATCGGGTTAAAGGGAATTCCTCTGAGAGGTGACCGTTCACCATCACCACTGCGGTAGCGTTTGCATACATGGCGTGAATCCAGTTGGTGAATCCGCTTCCAAAACCCATTCTAGCCAGTGTTGTTGAGACAAAGGCCCAACCTACCTTATCGTAGGCCTTCTCTATGTCTAGCAACAGAATGGCTACCTCTCTCTTTTCTGCATTGATTACCTCTAATGCGTGAACGGTGGCCAGAATGTTTTCGAAAATGGACCTCCCCTTGACAAACGCCCCTTGTTCTCATCCCACCAGGTTTGGCAGTAGTATGGCTAGTCTAATGGTCAAGGCCTTGGCTAGGATTTTGTAGGTGACGTTTAATAGTGATATTGGGCGATAGTTCTTTACGTCTCGTTTATCCCCTTTCTTATACATCAGGGAGATCACCCCTTTCACCAGGTTGGGGGGTAGAGACCCCTTTGTGAGTGCGTTGTTGTAGATTTGACATAAAAAAGGGCCAAATCCCTCCCAACAGTTGAGAAATAGTTCCATCGGAAGCCCGTCCAATCCCAGGCATTTGCCCACTGCCATTTGGTTTACCACTCTGTGGAGTTCTTCCTGCGACAAGGGGAGGTCCAAGTTTAATTTCGCAGCCGTCCCAATACAGGCATTAGTTCTTTCCCAGAAATTAGATTCCAGCGACAGGTCTGTTGTGAAATTATCAAAAGGGCGCCTTGTAGAAACTATGTCCCTAAATTAATCCATTGCATAGGCGCTCATAGTAACTGTGTCTGACGCCACTGCTAAATTTTGTTGAAATGGGTGAATAAGTTCTCTAACTAGCGGCTTAGATTGTTTTAGGATCAACGAACGAAAAGTCAATTTAGTCATTCTATCGTAACCTACGATCCCCCGAGGCTTTAGCCTATCAAGCCATTCCGCTTGTTTCTGCAAGTCCAGAGACTCGAGTTGGCACAAAGCCTGTTTTCTTTTCTCAGACCAGAAATAGTCAGTAAAGGGATCCTGGCCCATTTGCTGTTCCGCTTGTTCAATGTCTTTTAAACATTTCAATTCTTTCCATTTCCTGTTTGCAGACTTCATCCGTGAGAAAACCATCTGGGCTTCTCTGATTATGCCCAGCCCCACTTCTGACCACTGATCCTCACTAGTGAACAGGTCACGGGCCTTGGGTCACAGTATCATCTGAGTGTTAACCCAGTCAGTGATACCCTTATCTTTTAAATTTTCCACATTTAGGCGGAAGGGGGGTCTGGCTTTCTAGATTAGGTTTTTTGCAATAATGTCCACTACAACTGGGTAGTGGTCAGAAATGTCATAAATTAAAAAATCCGCAAATAAGCACTTGTCCCAAAGGTCGCCTCTCAACGTAATGATATCCAGCCTACGGCGAGGCTGGGGCGCAAACTTAGAAGGTCGTGGCCCATACCAGGTGTAGCCATGGTCTTCTGGATTCATCGTCCTATAGGTATCTGTAAGAGACTGGGATTCCAAGAGGGACATCAACATTGTGCTATCCGACCGTAAAGCTAAGGGGGTGGGTGAATCTAGCCCTGGGTTCAAGGTAGTATTCCAGTCCCCAATCAAGGCTAAATTCTCCACCTCGGGGATATGTGCTGGAAGGTCAGCCAAGAAGGGGACGCGTTCTGCGTAAATCGCCGGAACATATATCGACATTATAGCCCATTCTTCTGTGTCAATTTCGAGCTTGACCCAGACCCAGCGTCCTCTTGGGTCTACGTAATAGTCTATGATCTGACAATCTAAATCCTTGTGAATCAATATGGCCACACCCCCTTTAGAGCCGTCGGCCGGGGCGCAAAACTGTGGTCCCGCCCACCACCGCTCAGCCTCTCTTATCTTCTCATTGTTTAATTTAGTCTCCTGTAAACCAATAATGTGGGCTTGGTTTGAGTGTAGCCAAGACTGCACTTTACCCCGTTTATCTCTATCACCAATACCTTTGACTTTCCATATTGCTATACGGATTCTACAGGGCATGACCATCAGTGTGGTCATGTCCGCCTGGTCTTTGGATGCGGGTTGAACTCTGTGGTATGACTAACCTTTCCGTAGTGCCCTGCTCAATGCCCGGTGTCCCTAGGAGGAGGCCTCCTACTGACACCTGGTTCTGAAAGACCTCTGATGACAGGTAGTCAAGAGCTTCTCTCCTGGTTAACCAATCTGTGACCTCTAAGGCCGACAGTCCTTCAGGAAGCTTCACAGTCTCACACGATTCTCTTCTCCCCTGAATCAGCTCCTACAGAGGCAGCCAGTATACTCCTGTAGAGCTCCAGTTTGCGAAAGATGCAGATATGGCTTGAATTGCAAGAAAGATAATATGAAGCAGAATCTTCTTGCTTTCCGTTAAGACCACCAACTGTCTGCCCATTTTCGGTTCTGGAAGAACCACGCACGACCCCAAATAATGTAAGACTTGTTCATTTACTAATTTCACTGTTTCTTCCTCCGTGGGGGGGGATGTAACTTCTACTGAAGGTATCGATAGAGATTCATCTTTAGCTACCTTCGTTAGGTACATCGTCCCTTGCGGAGAACGGGCGCAGATGATAGGGACTATAAATTCCTGCACTCTACCGTTAGCTATATCTCCCTTACCGAGAGGGGCCATAGGGTTTGCAAGTGACAGGGATTTTTTAGCTGATCTAGAGGAGTGACCTCTCTTTTTAGAGGGCGGCTTATCCGTGTATGCGGAGCCTGACGGCTCTCCCGAAGGGTCACCCAGGTATTGTTCCTGGACCGTCGGCCAGGGCACGTTTTCGTTTGAGCGCGCTTTCTTGCTTGGTGTGCACATCACTACCTTATCAGCGTCCTTCTGTATATCGAACTGGATCAACCCTGCTTCAAAGAGACCTGCCACTGCAAATTCAAATTCCTCCTCTGCTTCTGGATCAGATGTCTCATCAGAGTGTCCTATCATTTCTAGTTTCTCGTTGTCATCCTGGAGGTCACTAATTAGGTGGTCTCCTATCTTTTCAATGGAGATGATTTCGGAGTTCGAAGGCCCCCCTAAAGCGGTCAGGGAAACTCCCATGACTTCCCCTTCGGTCTGATCATTTATCCTCTTAGGTTTTCCCGCAAAAACAACTGGCTCTCTTTCCTCTCTCATCTGCTTATCCTTCCCCTTCCTCCTCCAGGATGCCTTAGCTTTGGGCTTCACTTTCCTCGTTTGTTTCCCCTGTTTTTTTCTCCCACTCCCATCTACACTCGTCTCCTTCCCTTTTCTCTTCTCCCTTCCTTTGTCATCACTCTTTTCATCATCTCTGGATTTCTCCTTCTCCGTTCCATTCTTATCCTCCTCATCAGGCTTCTTCTCACCGTCAACCTTCCCTTTATCCCTTTCCTTATCTCCTCCATTTCCATCGTCTCCTTTGTCTTTCTTTCCTCCTTCTGTCCCTTCCTTATCCTCTGGGTCTTTGGTTGACTTGCTTTTATTCTTAGGACAGGACTCGTCTGAGTCTTTATGGAAATATTTACGGCATACAGAGCACCAAGGTGTCGTCGCACAAGCGACTTTGATGTCCATGCGGCCGAATTCCCAAAGGTCTACGACGAGCCGTTCCTTATATCGAAGCTTAGCCGACAGGGTAAGATCGAAGCGTACATCTCGCAGATCAGGTGACAACGGATATTTGTACGGGGTACAGTCCTTGATAATCGATCCAAATGCATCTTCAATTACTCCTTTGAGTAACCCCATTGCCGATACAGGCACATCCAGACATCGGATCCAAAAAAATTCTCGGCTCATGGCTTCTCTCCACTGGTGAAGCTGCAATTCTGACATCCATGGTCTGAAGTGCACTGTATGAGAGTGATCTTATCTTCTCTCTTCGTCAGCATCCATTGAGCGATCTGCTCCGCTGAAGCTACGTATGTAGCTAAATTTCGGCCTTCGTTTCTGAAGACGCCTCTCTTAGGGGGTGCGCCGGTCGCCCCTGATGCTGCCCACCCATTCTCATATAAGCGAACGAGACGACTTTTCACACCTACCGGTAGGGAGGCCGACTCATGGTCAAAGAAGATTGAGACTGCATGGTTATTTAACCATCCTGCTTGAATGGGTGCCAGATCACGGTCAATTACTACTTTGACGAAGTCATCCCGTACCTCTACCGTACTTGGTGCTAGCTTCTGCGGTAGGATCCCGTCATTGAAGCATGTGCTCAAGAGGTCATTGATTCGGCTTCTATCCGCACCGGACGGTGGGACGGACAGCATGGGGTTAACAGACGATGCCATCATTGAAGCTGCGGTTGACATCAAACCAGAGGACCAAACTAAAGTCCAAAACAATGGCAAAACAAATAATAAATAATAACTCTGATCTAACAATACACTAAACCGTGGTTTAATTAGAATACTCATGTCGCGGCAGGCTTCCAATCACAGATCTGGACTCAGGTTGGGTGGGGCTCAGAGGAATTTTATACCTTCATCTTCGAACTCTGCATCTGCCTTCCTCGATGTGGCAACGTAAGACAAGGCATAGGCGTGATACCTCCTGGTATACGCTAAACTGGGATTGCCCTCTCCTATGCCTCTCGGAACTTCAACTTCAGGGCCACAAACTCGAGAGCAAGGAAAGCTCACAGAACCCACGGCCAAACACCTTCCTCCTCCTCTCTGCTTAACCTGGTCTTGGTCCTTGCTAATGTCGAAGAAGACAACCGAGCAGTCCGGGTTCTCATGATGGCTGCTACCGCCGCGCTTAGGACGGACCCGCGCCGTCACTGGCTACGGGTCCGTCAGCCGGCGTCGCTCCGACAGCGCTCCGACAGCGCGCCGACCACTAAAGCAATTATGATATCAACGATCACGGCTTCATCAAGCAAGTGGTCTGCTTGTCACCAATGGGGACGAGATTGGGGGAGGGCTCCTCCCAAAAAAAAAAAAAAAAAAAAAAAAAAAAAGATATCAAGGATTCAAGGTCAACCCTCAGCAGCACCAGCAGAAGTTAAAAAGTTAAAAAAACAGAAAAAGACTACAAATCCACTCTTTTTTTCCCCCCTTACTTTTCCAAGGCCAAAATCCACTCCCTGTTTGTTTTTTTTTTTTTTGTTTTTTTTTTTTAACTCTGCCTGGGGCCTGCTTGAGGTGCTGATATGAGCAGCCCCTCCTAGCGGCCTCCTGGCCGGCTCCTGTCTATTGGTGGGGAGCTTCACCTGCTGGAAAACCGGTCCCGCGTCCCTTTACAGAATGGGAATACAGTAAGAGACAACTGCAGACGCCATACTCCCTCCGACCCTTTCCGCCCGGAGGCCAAGTCCCACTAGCAACGTTGAGTTTCCGCAATGACTGAATCTGGACGTGTTTGTGGAGATGTGCGGAAATTGCGTTGATTTACCTCAACCGCACATAGCCACAATCACATCCAGATTCGATCGTTGAGGAAACTCGACGCTGGTAGTGGGACTTGGCCCCGCGAGCACTGCCTCTCGGCCGTCATCTCCCTCTCTGGCCCCCTGCTTAATCATTTCTGTGTGCAAACCCCTGCAGGAAATTACAACCTGGGCATTGTTGTTCACCCCTTCCACTCTAAGTGTATCGGCAGCTTTGTAATAGTCCCGATACATTCAAATGCAAATTGTAGGATCAGTCCAAGTATTTCTGGTCCATTACTCTGTCCAAATACATGTCGAGTGTTGTGCCGAGCAGCGCGACCCACTGTCATCATAAGGTATGGCCATGAAGTATCACTTGAGCAGAGATGGGCAGAGGGGGGTGATGATCACACTGCACCAGGTGTGATGCTGGTGTCAAAAGACGCATTGTTCTCTATGAGAGTATGGCATAATACATCTTTGACATTTGATGTGTACATCAAGGTGCCTCTTTTCCTGTTGTTGCTCACAACTGCAGACTCGGCCACTTTCCTTCTTTTCTTTTCTTTTCTTTTCTTTCTTTTACGGGCTCCATTCTATTTGTGGGGAGCATTAAAAATAAAAAAATAAAAAAAATTGTGGGGAGCATCACCTGCTGGGAAGCGGGCCCACTAGCAAAGAGGAATCTGGATGTGTTCCATGCACAGATGCAGTTCAAAAATCTTCCCTTTTTTTTTTGCACCCATGCAGAAATGCAGTTCCATCGCCCACGGACCGGTTGAAATACAGACCTGACATCAAAAGGTCCTGACGAACCAATCTCTTACTAGATGAAATAACTTCAAATAATTCTGAAAGACAAAAAAAAAAAAAAGGAATCCAGTTCAATGATCTCTATTTTGTGCACCTCTCCACGAAAAGCGTCCAGATTTTTTCAGGCATTCAAATTTTCAGGCAGTCAATAGAATCCCTTTCTCTAGTGGGACCTCACCGCTGCTGGGAAGCGGGCCCAGCATCCCATTTCAGAAGATATGATGATAACAAAGATGATCATGCAGCATGGATTGCTCTGGCAAAACTCCCTGCAGGGGGGGATTTACTGGATGCG